AAAAATATGTGTGTGTGTGTGTGTGTGTGTGTGTGTGTGTATAAATAAATATATATAAATTTTTAAAAAAATCTTGTAATCAAAGAGAAGTTTCCATTTGCATTTGAGAGATAATCAAAATTGTTACATCAATAGGAATTCGGTTGTCCGTACGAGCTGTTGCGCAACAAACCGGATGGCTACTTTTCACAAATGATAGAGAAGACGGGCAATCAAATGGCGGAAAGTCTTTTGGAACAGGCGAAGAAGGCTTGCGAAAAGAATAATGATCATCGTGAATTAAACTTATTGGCACAAAATTTCGGGAGCGATATCACAGAACAGTCTGCTTTATAGTTTTTTCAACCAAGGAAATCTTACATAAAAAGTATAGGATCCAGCAGAAAAATCTGTCGCTTTTATAAGAACTGTATTTAATCGATGGAGATCACGTTCTCACTGCTGAGGGGATTCAACAGTTCATATATAACTTTCATTTTAAAGTAACTATATATATATGAAGCAATGAGAAAGATATATTATATATGGTTACGAAAACCTGATAATTATTAACATTTTCGTCGTAATCTGTATATAGTTGAACGTGATTGAGAATGTATGTTCTTGAATGTGATTGAGAACGTGATCTTTCATCAATATCAGTGAAAAACTACTATTATCATAAATTATTATCAATTAAAAGCGTCAAGTTTCTCTGTTAATTGTTATTATACCTCTAATATATGTGTATATCCAGTTAGTAAAACGTTAGCAGAATGTCGGTAGACTAGCAGATTTGATTGTATCCGCATTTAAATACATTTACGGCGTAAATATGCGAATATCTTATTATACATTAATAATCATACGAAATAAAATATAAATACGTTTCACGCGTATCCCATATATTGAAATACATAGCTATACGTTTCAAATTGTATATTTCGATATTCGTATATGTCAGTATCCGTGTACCCATGTATTAAAAATTACATGCACTGAAACACGGATATATTAATTACACGTGTAACAAGTGTATTTAGATATACAAGTGTATTTAAATGAAAAAGAAATCACTAATTTGTAGCGCTAAGCGGATACTCTCGATAGGGGCGCTGTAGTATTTTTCGAGTTACTCTAGTTTTGCGTTTTTTTTTCAATAATAGGAGCCCAAGGATCGAACCTTTTCCGAGCAAGCGTCCTCCCATTAAATCAAGGTGATTGGTTATTTTTGATCGGTTATCATTGAAAAACTATTGTCAGGACGTTTTTGTATTAGGATTTTTTTTACTTTACTTTATCTTTAAAATATCCTATGAAAGAATTGTATGGTGGTTACGAGACTTTACATAGTACAAATACAAGCATAAAAATATTATTATAAATTACACAACTTGTTTCTTTATTTTTTATATATTTTAGGATTTATACTAAACATGAGTCACAGATTACATTTCAAACGTTATACGTAAGTATCAAAAATATAGTTGCAAAATTGCAAAATTTAGATCCCTCAGATTTTTCCTTTTAAATATTTTCTAAAACAAAAAGAAAATTATAGACTATAGTGTAGACTTGTTAAGAGATTATATTGTCACTAAGAAAGAGAGAAAGAGATTACTTACTTTCTTTATTTTTATCAAAGATATTAGATAATCTAAACTTAAACAAATTATTAATACCTACTAAAGATAAATTGGGGAATAATCTTTTAAATATTATTAGTTCTGTATTGTTTTTATCGCACACGTTAATATTTGCATTTGAAGGACGTGAACATAAATCCTAAGGAATGTTTTTTTAATTTTACTTTGTTCTTAAATAACTTTAGGCATGCTTTGATTATATTTATTTAAATCAAAAGACTCCTCTGTATTATATTCCTTAAAATTGTGACTCATGTCTGTATAGAACTAGTAATTATGATACAATATGATGTTACATGATTTATTATTCTCTTTTGTCTTTTATTAAAAGTATTATTAGCGTATATGTGTGATTAGGGAATTTTTGCAATAAGGTAAATTCAGATATGAAAAAAGCTAAAGTCATGTGTTATTCTTTTTTTAATTAATTATTAAGAAGAAGATAACCTTAGCGTTTATCGTATCTGAATAAATGATATTTCAAAAACTTCCTAATAGCTCTGATGCAATACTGTAACTCAGACACAAATACGTAACAATTATTTCCTATGCTAAATATATGTAAAAAAGATATGTGTTAGCAAGTTGGCAATTGTTGTACAACAGTTCGACATATCTGAATAATAAACTTTGATATGTATTATTGCAGTATTAAATATAAATTATACCTTTTTGATTGATTCCTAACATTTTGCTATACATTTTTCATAGGTCCATTTATTATAGAAGAACAAAAAACATGTAGATGTTTTGTTATTTGACATAGATGTTTTATGATTAAAAATTGTCCGCATTGTACGTAATTGTGTTCATTGGATTGATGCCTTTCTCATCATAATTATTAGAAATTGATAATATACACTTTGCTAAAAATCTGTCTCTGTAGACTTGACTATCTGGGCAATTTTGTACGGTGACTCGCGAAACTCATCAAATAATACCATTATAAATTTTCACTTTTAAAAAAGGCATTTAAAATCGATTACTCACTTACTTATATTAAAGTTATTCCTTAAAGAAAAATACTATATTAGACTCGCAAAGAGAGAGAGAGAGAGAGAGAGAGAGAGAGAGAGAGAGAGAGAGAGAACCTATTGGAAATAATTGGAAAAATATTCAAATCAAATATTGTACACTATTCGTTTTAATAATTTTTTTATTAATCCAATAATATTTTTCTATAAGGGATTGTTGTCATTTTTTCGCGATATCGCTCGATTGGTTCTTTCGTTGCACTTATTTTGCGAACAGTTATCATTGCATATTTTGTCTCATACAGAACAAAACGTTGTAATGGATATCTAACGCATTTCTACATGTCTATATGATGTCCATATCTACTACGGACAACTAATAAACATATTTAATAGATATATAAAATATCTTGCCCGTATTCATAGTCAGGCCTTATATTTAAGGCTTCCTTAAATTTATTCTCAGATGCTTTACGAATTATTCCATTGACTGCTGAGCATTTAAAGATAAATTTAAGGAAGCCTTAAGTATAAGATCTGACTATGAATACGGACAAAAATCTGCCAAATACCTAATCGGCTTAGATATTTATTAAATGTTATTCATGCAAATATCACAAAGTAGATAAATGTCAAGATATCTACTATAGATATTCGCGTGTTATCTAAATATTCATCTAAATGATCCTATAACTTTATCCGCTAAAGGAAATAGAATGCTTATAACAATTCAAGTAGTAGATAAAGTTACTCGAACTACACAATATGAAATTTCTATGTACATGTGCAATGTGCATTCGTGTAAACATTCACTGGATATACATGTTTAGTAAACATTATAATATACAACAAATAAAATTAACATTTGCAATAAAATCTAATAAAATTATATCTTTTTAAATTAAATTAAATTATCATCAAAGAATTAAAAGTTGTCTCTCCAACTAAAAAATTTTTAATTGACTACAATGTAGGATGTTAATAATTATTATACAGTTAATTTATTTATCTCTTATGTGTTGTCAAGTCTGTATTTTTAAATATTGTTTAAAGTAATAATGTTACTATTATAAAAAGTCTATCTAATTATAGCTATTAAATGGCTAAGTTTAATAACAAGTAAAATTTTACAATACAAATAGGAAAGAAGAGAAAGAAGAAATAGCGTCCGTAGAAAAATAGCGTCAAATATAACATATCCATGAGAAAAAAAACAACAAACGCAACTGTATTTATACAAACAAGGTACTGGACAGTTATCGCTAATGTTTCTCATAAATCACTAGTAATTTAAAGTCAATATAAAAAGCTAGTACAGTTACTGATAATTTCAGTAAAAGATTAACTATTGGAAAGCTTGTCTCGAGACACTGCAGGGAAGAAGAATAAACGGTAAAAAAAGAGGGAAAGGGGAAAGAAAGGAAGAATGTTGATTGTTTTCATTTTTTCTGTTAGCTAGAAGTATCAGTTTTTGTGAGATAGTGCGACAATATGGATAAAGGCACGAGCGACATGAAACCAAACCCCAAAGAGACCGCAAATGTCTTCAGTGTTCTATTCTTCTGGTTCGTCAAGATTCAATATATTCGACAAAAGAAAGAAAAAAAAAGAAAATAAATATGCAAGACATTGTTTCTTATGAAAAATTTAAATTTTTGAGAAAAAGAAGAGATTCCGAAAAATTAGAAATTTTTTTTCTTAGAAAATGAGAAATTTAAGAAAAAGAAATTTTTTTATAAGCAAAATTATATTTCTCCAAAATGATAAATGAAGAATACTTTGGCTTGTAATGCGTTACTTTTAATCTCATATGTACAATACATTTTACTTTAAGAAAATGAAAAAGCATTTCGCAAATTTTCCTGCTATTCAAAAGAACGACGTGTAACTTATGTCCAGTCATTCTCTTATCTATTCTTTTTTACATATCAGTTATACTATTTGCAGTAATTAAAAAAATTAACTATGTATAACTGAGCCATATTAAGGTTATTATTTATCATTAACAGATATGTACGTGCACGAATATTATTGTCGTTATCGAATATAAGAGGAAATTTATTAATTTTTTCTTAGATTACAAAAACAACCACGGTTTTTCTAATTATCCACCGTTAAAATAAATTTACAATGGAAAATACATCTATAAGGTGTTCGTAAAGTATCTACTTAGCCTTTGATTCTCTGAATTATATATAAGAGAAGAAATAATTATTTCGGGATATTTTTTAATATACTTACAATTTATGGCTAAAAATTTATATGTAATTTGTAAAATATATATTTAAATATGTATCTGCAATCTTCGAGTTTACGTGTATTATATATTTGTCATTATTTATAGAAAGAAAAGGAAAAAGATAGCTTTAGGATAGTCTTTATACCGTAGTATATCGATGTGAAATCTATATATAGATTACATTTGATGCGCAGGTGGATACGAGAACTATTTACAATAAGTTTTAAGCGTGATTTGGAGGAATCCGACATTTATCGACCAATCAAAGCAGACGAATCTGAAAAATTGACCGATCATCTCGAGAAGTGAGTATTGTTCACGTTGATGTCAACAAACATATATAAGTGAATACATATTATAATGACGCTCGTAACAATTAAAGTTTACACTTTCACTGTAATGGAATAATAAACGAATCTTAACAATTGTTTTAAAAACAGTGCAATTTATATTGTATGCATATATCGTATAATTTCGGTACCTATTCTATTTTGTGGCGCAATTATTTTGCATTATACAGATATATATCTACTCTTTGAATCCTTTAAAATGAGGACGCAGCAAAATACGAAGAAAGAAAAATTAAAAAGTAAAATTAATAACTTAATACTCGCTTTTCTAAATCCTAATGCATTTTTTTCATCCAGATACTGGAATCGCGAGCTGGATAAATTAAAGAACTTGGAATATGTCGTGGGAAAAAATGGGCAGAAGGTGCCGCTGAAAAAGGAGTCTCGTCCAAAATTGTACAAGGCAGTCTACAAAACCTTTTGGTTGCCATATTTCATAATCGGAATCTGCTCATTTATCCAAGTACATTGATATTTTTAAAAAGAGATACCTATCATGTGATATTAATATTTATGAAATTTAGATTAAATGTGGAAAGAAATGTTGTAAGATATTCCCACAATTTTTTTCTTTTTTATTAGGTATTAACTATCTAATTAAGGATGCACCAGAAAAAGATTGAATATCTGATTTCTGGCAATTTTTTCCGAATATCTGATGCATCTCTAAATTTAACAAAGGATTAATGTCTAACACAATAAATTTTTCTATTATTATTTCTTTCTCTTAGGCCGGAATCAGATTACGCGTTGAAGAATGAGATTGAAGATTGAAAGATTAAAATTTGACTAACAGATCAAAAAGAGTCAAAATTTCTTTGTCCTCGTTGGTGAAATTTCAATCTTTAATCTTTAATCTCAATCTTCAATGCATAGTCTGATTCCGATCTAAGAGAAAAAAATAATAATAGAAAAATTTGATGTGTTAAACATTAATTCTTTGTTAGATTTAGAGATGCATCAGATATTCGGAAAAAATTGCCAGAAATCAAATATTCAATCTTTTTCTGGTGTGTCCTTAATTAGATAGTTAATACCTAATAAAGAAAAAAATTGATTTGAATTAATCTGAAATTTCTCTCTCTCTCTCTCTCTTTTGCTCGCTCTTCTCAGATTTATTTTAGATTTATAAATTTATTTGGAGGAAGAGAACAGAGTTAAATTTCAACTTTTCCCTTTTAGTGTAGCGTAGTGCGTGTAATGGTGCCGATCTTGCAAAGTTGGATCATCAAATACTTCATTAATGATCCTAACGCGAAATATAAAATCTCAACGAACGAGGTGATGATCTACATCGCCTTCCTGGTCATTACCAATGTCATCGCCATTATGTTGTTACACCATTCTGTCATGCAATCGTTACACGTTGGCATGAGGATACGTATCGCCTGCAGTTCTCTTCTCTATCGGAAGGTAATAATGCGAAGTTAACTAGTGAGCAGAGTTGGGAACGTTATCTTAAAAAAATAACCTGTTACCGTTACAGTAGTTACTTTTTGTTAAAAAAAGTAACTTGTTACCGTCATTAGTTATTCATTTTAAAAAGTTGCATATTACCATTACTTGAAAAAGTAACGAATCGTTACTTCTTGAGAAATTGTTGAATTTAGCTCCGTCACGTACGAGATTGATAAAATTAATTTTATTCGACGCGTTTTTACACAACGACCGAATCTGGCAAAAACAATCATCAAGAGCTAAACTCAACAATTATCGAATTTAAATTAAATATGGCTTTTAAACATTAATGTCATTAAAAAAAATGTATTTTAAGATTCACTTCCAGTACTGAAAAGTAGTATATATGTAATGTGAATTACAGATTTTTAATACTGATAGTAATTATTGGAATGCAGTCTAAAATATAAAATATAAAATATT